CACAACTTTAACGTTTGAAAGGATTTGCTGATGTGAAATGCAAGAGGTCTAAGGTTATGTGCAATACATGTCGTCGAGAGGGACACAATAAGAAGACATGTTCAAATTACCTTGCTAGGAAAAAAAGACATTTATTTTATTTTGTTTTGGTTGTTTTAATGTGGCAAACTCATGTTTTGATTTATTCTGTCTTTTAAGTTAATGAATTATAATTTCAGAACATTTATTATGTGTACTAGTTAATCATTTGTGTATTAAGTGTTTTTCAAATGTATAGTAAAAAAACTAGATAATGATGGTATGCAATTGATATCAACTGGAAATTCAAATCTTAGTATGAAATTGGTATACATTTGGTATCCAACTGATGTCCCAGCGATAAAATTGAAAAAAAAACTTGTAATTGAGATTTCACCTGAAATAGCCAACCTAAAACTAGTTAATGTTGCATCTAATTTGTATACATTTGGTATTGAATTGATATCCCATTGGAAAATTTTTAAAAAGGGCATGTAATTGAGATTTCAACCGAATTAGACAACCTAAAACTAGTTAATTTTATACCTAATTGGTATACATTTGGTATCTAATTGATATCCAATTGGAAAAATTGAATAAAACATGTAATTGAGATTTCAACTAAATTAGTGTAACATCCGGCATTTTGAAATAACGATGAAGAGGCTTAGAATTGGAAATAGTCATTTTTGGAAGGAATTTAAAAATCTGTAAATTTGGTTAAGTATGGGAAAAAGTGAGTTTTGGCCAACTTTGAGCAGTCATAACTCCTAGATCAAGATGATTTAGGTGTAGTTCCAGTTATTTTTGCGAAGCTCGTGGAATGATCTTTCCAACGCCTTCGAGTTTGCTCAATTCCGAGTTCGTATGAGTGAGTTATGCCCTTTGGAAGTTGGGCAGTTGGCAGGGAAGTCCGTCCGGAAAGTGTAAGGGGTATTTTGGTCTTTTCCCTAACCAATTCTTTTGGTTATATTAATGTGTTAGGCTGATTTTAGATCAGTTTTTCCCATTTTAAAAGAGTGAGAGCAAGGGTTTGATAGTGAAGAGGAGAAGAAGAGGAGAAAGAGAAGATCAAGCAAGGTTTCGTCAAAGATCGTCGGGGGTGATCCCTACTAGGTATGTGAGTTCATAGTGTTGGGTTGATTCTTTCCCCCACACACCAAACTCGTTTTATTTCCGATAAAAGATTGGTTGTGTTGTTGATGTTGTGATGGTGTTGAAATCTTGTTGATTTGGGACATGTTTCCGGTTGTGTTTCCGAGTTAAATCTATTGTATGTTGAGGGGTTTTATGTATCTAAGTGTTTGGTGTTGGAACCTTTGAGGTTGAGAGGGTTTAGAGTTGAAGAAAAGAAGGAGAAAAGTCGAGTTTTCGGGGAAAAGGGGTGGCGCGTTGCGCCCCAAGAAGTGTTCTGAACTTTATGGTCTGGCGCCTCGTGCCTCTCAGAGCGCCAAGGACGCCAACCTTTCCCATTCTTTCCCCACTTTTTCATGCGTGTTCCTTGGTATTGTACCTATGTTTCATAGTTGTTTCCAACACTCCAAAGTACGTCTAAACGTCAAGAACTCGTCCATAAACATGTGATCATATACCTTGAATCCGTAATTCAATTCAAGGCGAGTTAGGATCAAAGTCAAGTGAAGTTAAGAGCCTAGTCTAGAAGTTAAGAAGTGAGTCAAAGCAAGTTTTCAAAGTTGTTCGAGAGTCTTTATTGAACGTTTTGACTTCATTTTTAAGACTCCGGTTTCAAGTTGAGTAAAGAGTATCGAGTTTCAAGTTAAGCCAAGAGTATAGAGTTGAGTTAAATTCTCAAAAGTCATATGGGGACTATGTATTCCCAAAAGATTTTAAAATGTTTTCACATTTAAACAAGAATGGAAACTGAGATTTCCAAAGAGCCTACGGGCTAGTTTTTCAGAAAAGAGAAATAGCTTTCTAAATGAAGCAAGCAGGGAAACTGAGATTTCCAAGATAGCCTTTGAGCTAAGTTTTTGAGTAATTATCTCAAATCAGAAAAGAAGTATGTTTTTTTTTAAACATAAAGAGCTAGTATATTTTGGGAGTAGTATTGAGCACCGATATGGGGGAGAGTTCAAACAACTCACAGCCCCCATAAACCATGTAGTCACCATGGGTAGAAAAGGGTCATACTTTTTAGATGAACCCTTTTCACAGTAGACTAGTGGATCCATTAGGCAGTTCAGGTTCTATACCTTTGGCCGGGTATAGGATGCTCTGGCAGCGTGAGGTCGATCACTGTATCATCACTATAGCTCTTATGTGATGGTTGTCGGTTAGAGAAACTCCCACAACAGTTATTGTATTTTTTAAAATACATCAGTTCATGTGTATTTCTACATACATCTCAGATTTATTGTATCTTTGCATACATACAGAGTTTTCAACATGTTCTAAACAAATTTTCTTTATATTGCACTTGATTTAAGTTGTCTTATATTGAAATGAGTCAGTCAGGTTGAGTTAAGTTGAGACAGGTAAGTTATTCAGTTTCTTCCAGATTTCCTTCTAGCCTATATTGTTTAGCTTTCCAACTCGCATACTCGTACATTCCATGTACTGATGCCAGTTGGCCTACATCTTATTATGATGCAAACACAAGTACCCAGGATCAGCATCTAGCACGCCGTTGATCCAATTGAGCACTCCAGAGTCAGTGGTGAGCCTCCTTACTTTCCCGAGGACTCGGTTATTTTGTGTTCTTAGTTTTGTTTTACTAGGGTGTTGCGGGGTCTATCCCAACATCCATCTTAGTATTTGTAGAGGCCTCATAGACAGTCAGTCAGTTAGTTTTGAGTCTATCATCTATGCATATATGTAAATATTTTATTTTGAGACTCGAGTTACCTTTTGGCAGATTTTATCAATTGGGTGGTTTTATAACCTTTCCTTGCATTGAGTTATGTTGTTGAGTTAGGTTTCCGCTGAGTTAAGAAAGCCAGGCCAAGGGTTCGCTTGGGGGCCAGCAATGGTCTTCGAGTGTCGACCACGTCCAGGGTGTAGGCTCGGGGCGTGACAATTAGTCAACCTAAAACTAGTTAATTTGTACCCAATTGGTGTACACTTGGTATCGAACTGATATCCCATTGGAAAATTGAATAAAAGATGTGATTGAGATTTCAACTAAATTAGTCAACCTAAAACTAGTTAATTTGTACCCAATTGGTGTACACTTGGTATCGAACTGATATCTCATTGGAAAAATTGAAAAAAAACATGTAATTGAGATCTAAATGAATTTGCCAGCCTACCAACAATATTCATGTTTCATTCCAATACCAACTTCATTTTATAAGTAGTTATAAATTAATTATTTCACATAATTATATACAAAAATTAAATCAATTTCATATCAACATTCATATACTATATATAAAATTTAGCTCATACCAATATTATTCATGTTTTATTCTATATTCATGCACATAAATTTTAATAAAATAGTATACCATGTTTGAAAAAAATTCACACCAATATTATTCAAACATCACACTAGATTTCATGTGCACTGTGGCATTTAACAAATGACACTAAAATCAACTAATTGGGCTACTGATATCAAACCAATATCAAATAATACTTCATACCAATTGAATACCAACATTCCATCACATTTCATATATCATATATTAATGTCATATTCATGCAAATATTATTCAAATTTCGTATAGTTTTCACATCAATATAAGTTTCGTAACAACAATAATCATAATACAATATTTTTAACACAAAAAATACTAAATTGAATAATTCAAAAATAAATTAAATTAAATACTTATCCTAACCACTTTTTTGCCTTTTTTTGAAATTGGGATTTCTGAGTCCTCCTTCCTTGTTGTTCTTCTTGTTGATTGGTTTTGAAGACTGACCAATTTCGACATTTGTTGCTTTTTTTCTTTTTAATCTCACTTACGAAATCTGAATCCGAAACAGAATGAGTCGCTTTTACAATTTTCACCTTCCTCTTTTTTCCTTTTGATTTGCATGACTAACTGTTTTCTTTGATTGACTAATCTTCGACTGAGAAGAAGCATCTTTTACCGGAATTTCATTATTTGTTGACATTGCAGCACTTATCTCTAGTTCAAGAGTAGAAACCTTGGCCAATGCCTCTTCTCGAGCTGCCTGCTACCGACTACAAAAGAGTTGTTAGAGAGAATAAAAGAATAGAAAGAAAAAAAATCAGAATTCATATCTGACATTCTTTCCTGCACATATAATTTTTAAAACATGTGCTAATTTTAAAACAAATACAGATCCACTTCTTGTGGGGCACAAGTAAGCATTTGCTTCTTCCAATTATCAAACATAACAAAAAATTTCATACAGAAAGGAAAGTATGTTATCTTATTTTTTTCCTTCCACATCCATGGGGCTCAATCGTGAGTTCTGCTGATTTTCCTTTATAACGAAGAAGACGAACGTTGAAGATGGGGAGAGAGAGCAAAAATTAGTTCTATGTAAAAGAGGAACATGGGGGTGGGGGTGTGAAAACTGAAAAAAAAATCTCTAAAATGTTGTAAGAGATAATGACAATTGATTATCTTATTTCTCTCACTTATTAATTGTAAGGTAATTATAAAAATAATAACTAATTAATTAAATCAAATAAATTAAATTATAGATTAAAACTAATCTGTTAATACTTGTAATTAAATTGTTATAAGTAGTAATATAAAAAAGTACATCTAAAGGCTGTAATATTAAGCCTTAAATAAATATGTGGGGTGAATTTTCCATTAATGTGAATAGGGCGACGACATTAGGGTGATCTAATGGGAAAAACTTCATAAACAATTACAATGAAAGTGCTTGGAAATGCTTAAAGAGAGTCAAATCAAGTCGTCATTATTTTGTGTGGAATTGAATGCACAAATTAAGACCAGCAGCTTCCAACTTGTTCATAGATTCCACTACTAGTGATGGATGCCTTAGTGGATTATTTAATCCCAATTCATGAAGACTAGTCACTTCTAAATTGGAGATGCCTTTCTTGAGGGGATTCACAAGGAAAACTTTGTTTTCCTCTGCCTCTGCTGAAAGGCGGAAGAAAGAGCATTATTGTTATTTAAAGAATGGAAGTGAGGTACTTGAGGAGCTTCTTGCTTTATGCGACGGAAATTGCAGAATTCCCATCCGTTACTTCTCTGCCATAGAGATCCACAATGCAATAAAACACTCTAAAACCAAAATGGACCTTGCCGGTCATGTGTCTATGGTTACGGGATCGCTAGACAACCGCCCTGTTTTAATTAGGTTCGATACATGTGAATTCAACAACATCCACCGAGATATAGCCATTTCTGCTCAGATGAGTCACCTCAAGAATGTGTTGAGACTTATTGGTTGCTGTCTAGAATTTGAAAAAGCAGTTATGGTGTATGAATATGTTGAAGGTATATCTCTTTTCGATCTACTTTTCAAAAAGGATAATCTTAATAGAAAATCGCTATGTTGGGGAAATAGATTACGAGTTGCACGTGAGGTTGCTTCTGCAATCGTTTTCCTCCATACTGAATCTACTACGCCCATCATCCACAGAAGTATAAAGCCATCTAATGTGATAATAGATGAGAAGAGAGGCATTGCCAAAATATTGAACTTCTCACTCTCCATATCATTACCTCCAGGGGAATTGGAGGTACTAGATGATGGTGTGAGTGGAACACGGGGGTAAATAGCTCCAGAATATTACCACCAGGGTATTATTACTCAAAAAACTGATGTCTACAGCTTTGGGGTTCTTCTCTTTCAGCTATTAACCAGAAAGGGCCCGTACGATATTATGGAATCTACACATTCAATAGAGACAATTGATTTTGAAGAAAACACTAAATCCAACACTGAAGAGGGTAATTCTATGGATAGAGTGGATTCCACAAATTCAAAAGAGGCGATAGATTTTAAAAATCTTCCAACCAATTACTTTGTCGATCGTAATATTAAAGAGGGTAATATAATGGATTTAGAGGATCCTATCATGTTAGAAGAGCCTGGAATTGAGATTCAACAACAATTGAATGACTGCTTGGATCTTGTTAAGAAATGCACATCTGACGAAGGAGATGATAGACCATGCATGATTCATGTTGCAAGGGAATTAAGCCGAATTGAGAAGTGTTTCCATGCCCTCACCCTTGGTCAAAATTAAATGTTTAGAGGTATTCAAATTAGGTTCCAATTTAAAGGAAATTCAGTTTGTTTGTACCGTCATATTTATGTTGAACGAAAAATGACATCTGCCGACAATGAAATTGCTAATTTGATATCTTTACTTTGCTCTATTTGGAGTGATTTTATTTTTTTTAGTTTTTTCGATTTACAAAAGAAATGGGGCCATGTTAGTTTTGTATTTGTCATTCAATTAATTTTAGTAATTAAATTCAGACAATACCACTGCAGGTAATTTATCCGTAGCTTTCCAAATAACTATCTGGTAATTTGAATTTGTGTAATTATTATGATAGTAATTACTAATCTCGTAAATAGTAATTATGATGACTTCATTGTTTATTACAATGTAATTACATGCACAAATCTAATCACAGAATTATATTGAATTTTAAAAATAAAAGAAATTATTTAAAATTAAATATCTATATTAGACAAATAAGTGCCTTTATAAATAATATTAAATGAAATATTTATTCTTTTAAAAATATATTAATTAACAAACGTATATTCTTAATTAATATCATAAAAATGATTTATATTTTTAAAATTAGTATATTTTAATTAAACTAATAATAAAAACTAAAAGTATAAAATTTCTATTAACATCAAAAATATATGTTTGACAAAAAGGTCAATATTTTAAATATAATGTCATAAATTATGAAAATATTTGACAAAAAGATAATCAATCAAGTCAATTAAAAAATAAATGACTCACAATGTGAAATATCAACTCAGTAGTACTAAAACAAATGAAATTGAAAATATAACAAAATTTTTAAATTCAAAATAAAAAATTGAATATTATATTCTTATATCAAATTTCAACATAACATACATAAATATGACTTAAAAGAAAAGCAAAATGTAAATTTATAACCTTATTCAACAATGAATTCTACTTCAATTTAAAAATTAGAATACTAATAATCTTACTGCTTTACGGTGTAATTTTTAAGAAATTGCACTATTGATGGCCAATTTTGAAGCATTCCCACTAACCATGGATATCTATGGGTGGCCATCAAATATATATTCCTGTTAACTTCTATTACCATTGAACATCTAGTCATTCTTCCTCCATGCTTCACTACTTTCTTCCCACCATTTATAAATGATTTGCCTGAGTTGAGTAAAAGGACAATGTATTCCAGCTGCCCCTACAAACGTCCTTCGTATATAGTTAGAATCAGGACAAGATATAAATAAATGATTGAAAGATTCTTGAACCTTATTAAGCACAGCAACAACATTCCATATAGTTTGTGATCTTATTTCTGACTAATACTTCTCCTATAGGAATTATTTTAAGTCATATTCTCCATAATAAGAAAGACCTATGAAAAGGCATACCCTTTTTCCAAATGAACATTATATCTTTCAAGGGGTGCTTTTTGCTTCTTACAATTTCCCAAGCACTTCTAACAAAGAAACTCTCCTTATTACTAGGCATCCATCAAGGTTTATCCCTCTTTTCTTACATTTGATAGTCTCCATTAAAGACTGAATGTGAGCACAAACTTTTTCATTGAATAGACCAACCTGATCTGACTAACTTCTTCTAGATTGATATTAGGGATGTGACTTATAGGTAAAATATAGAGATAAGTGTCAAAAACACATCTAAACTATCTTTTTTTTTGTGTTTCATTCCTAATTATTGAAAGTTTGGATTTCATACATAACCTATCATTTATTAGTTTGAGAAACACACATCACTGATGTGTGTAATGCACTTTCTCTTTTATTTGAAAAAATCTTGACACATGACATTCCACATGAATAAAATATTCCACCTTGACAAAAATTAAATAATAAAATATTAATATTAATTAAAAATTAAAATATTAAAGATTAAAGTATTACTATTCCCAAAAATATTTTTTTTTAAGAAATAAAATTTAAATAATTTTCTTACCCCACTCCACCACCTCCTCCCCATACCCACTCATTCCTCAAAATAGAAGTTGATATTATTTTATTTTTAAGAAAATAAAAGTTTTACCCCATTCTATTTAACCCTCCGCTCCTAATTTATTTATTTTATTTTTACATTTTTCTCGTTTTCTGTTAGATATGTACATATATTTTTAGGATTTTTTTTTACTTGTGTACCGAATCTAACAAAAATAAAAAATTTATTTCAAAAAAAATTCTTGCAGCAGCAAGTAAAAAATATTTTCGATATGTATTTATCTAACACAGAACGAGAAATTTTTTTGGAAGCGGAGGGTTAGGTGGAGTGGGTAAAATAATTTTTTAAGAAAATAAAATAATATCTAAATTAGTATT